CTACAGAGGGAGACTTTTCTTAAATGAACAAACAAACAAAACAAGCAAGTCTCTTTTATCGTGGAGTTTAGTAGGGGAAGCAGACATTACACAAGTAAGCACATTGCAAGACTCAGTATTTTGGGCTGGGGCTGTAACTCAGTTGGCTGTGGTAGCCTAGTGTGCAGGAAGTCCGGATTCTATCCCTAGTGCTGTACATCTATAATCCTGCGGTACAGGATTTAGCAGATGGGGCAGGAAGGATCAGAAGTTCAAGGTCATCCTCAGCTATATAGAGTTTGAAGTTAGCCTAAGATACATGAGAATTGTCTCAAATATTATCTTAAAAATGAGTATTTGAAAAAGAATATATATTCCTAAATTGAGGACTCAATACTCCTAAATATCTTTATTTTTCCTTTCTCTTTTTGTACTGGGGATTAAACCCAAAACTTTGCCAACATGTTAAGCATGTTCTCTGCCAATTAGCCATGCTTCCAAGATGTGATTTCCTTAATGTAATATTTATTAATTAAGTACTTTTTTTTTTTGGTTTTCCAAGATAGGATTTCTCTGTGTAGCTTTGGAGTCTGTTCCAGAACTAGCTCTGTAGACCAGGCTGGCTTCAAACTCACAGAGATCTGCCTGCCTCTGCCTCCCAAGTGCTGGGATTAAAGATGTAGGTATAGAGTGGGGCATTGATGGCACACGCCTTTAATCCCAGCACTCGGGAGGCAGAGCCAGGTGGATTTCTGTGAGTTCGAGGTCAGCCTGTCTCCAGAGCAAGTGCCAGGATAGGCTCCAAAGCTACACAGAGAAACCCTGTCTCGAAAAACCAAAAAAAAAAAAACAAAGATGTAGGTAGACTATATTCAGCCCCCACTATTCCCCAGAATTCCTCCCAGACCCAATCCCACCTTCCCACCTTCCCAACTACTTATGCTCTTTTCTTTTCTGTTTTGATTTATTTATTTATTATGAATACAACATTCTGCCTCCATGTATGTCTGCAAACCAGAAGAGGGCACCAGATCTCATTATAGATGCTTGCTAGAAACTGAACTCAGGACCTCTGGAAGAACAGCCAGTGCTCTTAACCTCTGAGCCATCTCTTTAACGCCTTTTCTTTTCCTTTCATATTGTTTTATTGCGACAAGATCTCACTCTTGTAGTCCTGGAACTTGCTAGAGCACATTCACCTTGATGGCACAGAGATCTGCCTATCTCTGCCTCCCAAGATTTGGGATTAAGGGGCTGTGACACCATCCTCACTTCAATATTTTTTGAAAGAAGCATCTTATGAAGCAACCATTTACAACACCTGGGCAGGATGCAGAGAAGCCACAGCCAATATTGCAGAACACGGGCTAACATAGTAACAGGCTGTGAACGCCCTTCTGCCTGAACGACAAAGAGGGGGCCTTGTATCTGGATAGGGAAACAGCAAGTATTCTCTGAAATGAGCCACAGACAGGAGGAGCTTAGACTCACATGGGAAACAACCCACCAACTAGCCCACAGAAACTCATCAAATGACAATGCTCTGCAAATGCTTGCCAGTGCACTCCAAAGGTCAAACCAATGTGACAGCCAGAGGCCATGGAGCACTTCAGATGGAGAGTAAATCCAGAGGAACAAATCAATAAAGAATAGGCCCCAGGTCCCTGCTGTTCTTTCCTCTTCGTGTCAGCTAGCTCTTTAACTCAACCTGTCCTCGCTTGTTTGTATACAGAATCTTTCTATATAGCCCAGGTTGGTCTGGCACTCACTGTGCAACCCAGGTAGGCTTCAAATACCTGGGTACTCTTGCCTCAGCCTCCCAAGGGCTGGAATCACAGGCCCATGCTACCGCCCTTGGCTTCACAATCTGATTACACTGGACTTTTCACCAGCTATGACCTTCCCTTGTCACTACTCCTTAACTAATTTCATACTACAAATCGAAGACGGTGCTCTGAAGCTAACGCTTGCCACTGCTTTAACTTTCAACTTCCGGTCTCCTTCTTTCTTCACCCCTTTGACTGAGATGTTTTCATTTTGCTAACCAGTCCCAGTTCAGCATGTACTCAGGAATATGCTTGGGACAAAAAACTCTTATGATAAGTGACTCTGCTATATTTGCCTTTGTCCCAAGTGAGTCAAAGTGGATGGCACTCCAAAGTACTTACTAAAAATTATGTTTAGTGTGTGTGTGTGTGTAGGTCAGAGGTCAAGCTGAAGGAGTAGGGTCTTTCCTTCTACCATGTGGGTCCTGGGGACTGATCTGAGATCTTTAGCCTTGATGGGAAGTACTCCTACCTGCTGAGCCATCTCCCAGGCCTGAAGATCACTCATTTGTGGCTGACAAAACTTAGTCATGACCCCAGCTCTGATGAGTACTACCTACCTCACTTGCTGGCAAGCACACTCATGAAAAGATTAGAATCATCAAAAGACACTAGACTCCAAACAGCAAGGTTCAAAGTACACCTCATCAGAGGTGTAAGGTGTAAGGAAAATGATTGGGGAGTTTATACGAACTTGAAAAACTAGTATTTCTTGTCCTTGCTGGATGATGAAATTCTGAAAAGCAAAATAAAAGGAAGGCTAGCTAAGAGTTCCAGCGTGTATGAGAAATCCGAAGTCCAATTTCTGGGTGTAGTTACCTCTGGAGTTAGGAAAAGTGATCCAAGACACAGAGAAGGAACTTCAACTGGGGCTTGTTATATTTTTCTTTTCTTTTTTGTTTGATTGGGTTGGTAGTATTTTGTTTTGTCAAGCCAGGATGTCATGTAGCTCAGGCTTACATGGAATTTTATGTGTCGCCATACTGACCATAAATAAACAATGTATCTATTTATCGGGGAATTATTAAAAGTGCCATAGTTCACATTTGGAGATGAGAGGAGAAACTACAGGATTATTTCCTTCCACCATGTGGATCCCAGGTATCAAACCCAGGCCTTCAGGATTGGTGACAAACACCTTTACCTGATGAGCCAACTTGATGACCCTTCTTCCTTCCTTCCTTTCTTCCATCCTTCCTTCCTTCCTTTCTTTTGTTTTTGTACTCTCCCCGCTTTTTAAAAATGTTGACATCATGATAGTTCCATACATTTCAAGTAGAAGATAACCCTTTCAAATAAAAGCTATTTCATAGATGGGCGGTGGTAGCACATGCCTTTAATCACAGCACTGAGGAGGCAGAGGCAGGCAGATCTCTGTGAGTTTGAGGCCAGCCTGGTCTACAGAAGGAGTTCCAGGACAGGCTCCAAAACTACAGAGAAATCCTGTCTTGAAAACTCAAAAAATACAAGCTATTTCATACATACATACATACATACATACATACATACATACATACATATGTATGTACAGAAGTTAATTTAAAAGTCTACCATATAACAGGTTCATTTGGTGCTACCAAAAACTTACAATACAAACAAATGACTATAAAGAAAACCATCAGTAAACTAAGGCATACAGGAACTACATCTCATTTTTGGGGGGAATCCAAATAATTTCTACCATGTTAGAGGAATCAAGTTCACTTATCATGATGTGCATTATCATATTTCCTTAAAGCAGGGGCTACTTAGAATCTTTACATTTAAAAATGTTTAGGCAAAATTCTGTCTTTACATTCAGGAACATTCATATATCTGGTTACACACAATTCTCTCATCATGCAAAAAAGAACCACAGTTAATTGTATTCTAAGGACTAAGTAGGTCGAATGAACTAATATTAGCCATGTATTGACCAAGCTGTTTATCAGAGAAGTACAGAAAGAGATCGGGCTGTTTAGCTGTTCTTCCTGCCATGGTCCAGCTACTTGATCTACCTCCTTTCTGTATTAGAACTGACAGGTGTCAAAGTGAGAATTTCATTACTGCAGCAAATGACAGAATATTCGAGAGAAGAGCAAAGGCCAGTGCCACTTTAACATGGTAATTTATTTGGGTTTGATGGGGGGAAACTAGTGTGGATGGGAAAAATTTCAGTTCTTCCCTTACAAGCACAAAAAAAAAAAAAAAAAAAAAAAAAAAACACCTGCTCCTTGAATTTTAGAGATCATAGATCAGAAAAATGCAAGAGTAACTTCTACTCTCCTCAATTAACCAAAACAAGTTAAAGAAAACAGGTAAAAACAGCTTTCACTCGATGGGCACTGGTGGTGCACACCTTTAATCCCGGAGGCAGGTAGAGCTCTGTGAATTTGAGGCCAGCCTGGTCTATAGAGCAAGTTCCAGGACAGGCGCCAAAGCTACACAGAGAAACCCTGTCTCAAAAAAAATATTTTTCACCCTGAATATAGACACCCATATATTCCAGTGTACCAACAGGTTTTTGACTAAAAGAAGAAAAAAATCAAACCCCCTTACAGTTTTTATGAGAGGTACCAAAAACAAAGTAGTTTCCCCTATGACATTTCATCTCTAAAGCATAAAAGCTATGTAATACCTCACACAAAGTAACCAGTGTTTTTATAAAAATAAAGCAGTTTTGGACTGGACTAATGATATTATACTGTATTTGTGGTGAAGCACGAGGCACAAGAATATATTCAGTAATCAGACACTTTCAGTCTAATCAGTCTCCATGGTTATCGCTTTAATTTTTGGCAATCGACAATAACCAGCCATGTATTTTGATACTTACATAACAAATGGTAGAGAACAAGAAGTCGTGTATTATAGTAACAAGGTTTGTATTTGACAAATGACTGCAACACTGAACATATTTCTTTTATGCACTTGATGATTTGTTTTGCTGTCATCACTTGTTGTAGGTCCTTGAGTTGACTCTTCAGTATTCATGCTGTCTCTATCTGCAGTTTCTTCATGTTCGTCTTCATCATATAGATCTGTTGTACTGTCCAGCTAATTTAATATTCAGTCCTTTGTTCTAGTGAGGTTTCCCTCTTTTTTTGTTTTTTTTTTTTTTTTTTGAGACAGAGTTTCTCTGTGTAGCTTTGGAGCCTATACTGGCAGTCGCTCTGGAGACCAGGCTGGCCTTGAACTCACAGAGATCTGCCTGCCTCTGCCTCTCGAGTGCTGGGATTAAAGGCCTGCGCCACCAACACCCAGATGAGGGTTCCTGTTACTTCGTTTTGTTGTTGTTGTTGTTGCTTTTTGGTTTTCTTTTTTTCTTTTTGCTCTTCCTCTCCACTGTGTTGCTATTCTCAAATCTGACTCTTGGGCTCTTAGCTTTCAGCAGCAGCCTATTTCTTAACTAAGATATGTGGAGTCATGACATCATTGGCTTCTGAATCACTATAGATATCTTCATCATCATCTATCATGTTGCGATAAGCAGTGTTTGGTTCATCTGCTTCCATCAAACCATCGTCTTTGTCAGCTGGAGATACACTGCCAGGATATTCATTTCATCCTACGTCTGGGACTTTTTACTCATCTCTTCCCCTGGTGATCACCAGGGAAGACACCTTGTTCTTGAGGATTCCCTTAATGGGTCTATGGGAGGCCATCAAAGTGGCCACTGCTGGCTGCTCCAGCTGTCAGCTCAGGGTTCCTGCTGGCATGGGACGAAGGGGTGGTTGCTGCAGAGACCCTCTAGTCCACTGCAGAGCATGTACACAAGGCTCAAGCAGCTCCATCCATCCTGGAAACCACTACCAGCATCACCTCATGACACAAAATGACCTTGACAAATGCCACAGCAGACTGCGCAGCTGGGTGCCCTTCACTGCCACTTGCACTGTATCCCACGGACACACAGAGGAAGTCAACCTAGTGTCCCAGGGCAGGAGCGACATAGATGCTGAAACCCCCTTTATTTCTTTAGATGAAATTCTGGAGTCAGGTACGATGGCATATTCCTGTAATTCTAGCCATCTAGAGGAATTAGAAGGATACAGAGTATGAGGTCTGCCTCAGCTTTCTGAGACCCTGTCTCACACAAAACAAAAAGTTCTGTCATTACAAAGAACATGAGTCCCAAGAATATCAAAGTCTAGGAAAAAAAAACAAAGCTAAATACCCCCTCTTGTTGTGTTCGGGGATAGTCATAGCCCTTTTTCTGATCTCCATCATGTCTCAAGAAACACCACTAGTAGGGAAGACACAACATCACCTCCAATGACATGACGCACAAACACACCAGATAAAGCATTTCCTAAACAGACCAGGGTTTGGGGCTAAGCTTTAGCTAGACAAACACCTTCCCTGAGATACTGTTCACGCGTCCACTGAATAGACAAGCTGCACTGAGACCAGCATATCATCACCTCCCCACTGAACACAGGACACTGACTGCAAGTGTGATCACATAGCCATGTAAGCTCAGTCCATAGTCTGCGACTATGCCAAGATTAAGGCATCCCCATTACAATTGTGGGGTGCACACCAACCCTAGCTGACAACCTCCAAGAAGGGTATAAGTGCAGCCTCTGGCTTTTATCAATATAACACATGATATCCCCAAATCAGAGATGAGACAAGACCACTGATGGTGTTCGTCTTGCCAGAGGAAGGCCTAAGACCTGCCATCTCCAGGGCTGAATGGGACATGGACCAAGTACTCCCAAGGCTAGTAGGCTATATAAGTCAGAGAAAGCCCTCCGGAGCTTCGTCTGCTCTGACACTGTCAGGCTTTCCAGTGTCACCTAGGGGGGAACCAAGTGTCCCTGTGTGCACACTCTATCCTGATTTGCTTTTGTTGCTGGGGTTTTTTGTTTGTTTGTTTGTTTTGAGACAGGCTTTCACTGTAGCCCAGGCTGGCCTTAAACTCCCTATCCTCCCCACCTCAGCCTTCCCAGTGCTGGGATTACAGGCTTGAATCACCCACGCCTGGCTTGCCCAGGAGAGCTGGTAAGCTTGGCCCTTTGTCTCCCCTGTGATGGGGCACCTCCCCACCACTGCCCAGAAGGATGCTGGGCCCCTGCATGCAGAGAGAGGCCTGGCTCATCTGAGCATTGAGAAGCCATCACTTGACCTGGAATTGGAGGGCCATCACCACCATTTGAGCTGCAGCCAAATGTGGCTCTCTCCCTCCTCCAGGGCATCCTGGCTCTCTCAGGCCTGCCAAATTACCCTCACTAACAGCAGGACTTGAAGGGCCCTCCAGGCCTCTCACGATGGCTATGTCTGCACCCACGCATCTCAGCCAATTCAACTCACACTGACTCTGCCCTCTGGAATTAGCAGAGCCATTTGCCCTTTGGATCTTCCAAACACACAGGCCTCTGGCTGGGGAGGAGCCCAGTTCTGTGTGGCCCTGTCCTAGGAGACTTGGGGTGAGTGACAGGGTCTTCCTATCAGTGAGGAAGTAAGGGAGTACCCAGGATCATCACCTTGACACACTGTGGCAGAGAGGAAACACCAGGTTATTCTTGGCTGATGGGGACACATGGGCAGACTAGGGCCACAGAAGTTGTGTGAACTAGGGAGCTTTGGAGAACACGGTGGGGAGCCCAGAAGACAGCATCCGTGCAGGACTGAGGTTGGTTCAATGGTCTGATCAGCATAGGCCTGAGTGGGAGGCTGTCTCTTCATAGTGCCTGCACTGGGTCAGGTGGAGACCTTGTTTTACTCTTGACTACAGAGATCTCCCCTGGCATGTGTCTCCTTGTATCCTGAGCTGTCCAGGGGCATTCACCCATCTCTGAACAAAGCCTCCACCTACACTCCCACTATTTCTCCCTATTAATCAGCTAGCCATTCTGTAACAATGAATCTAAACCCACTCTCAAACTCTGTCACTGGAATATGTACCACGGCTTCCAGGATAATGAATTCTTTGTTTTCTTTGTTTTGTTGTTGTTGTTGTTGTTGTTGTTGTTGTTGTTGTTTTTAGGCCGGGTTTCTTTGTAGCTTTGGAGCCTGTCTTGGAACTTGTTCTGTAGCCCAGGCTGGCCTCGAACTCACAAAGATTCATCTGCCTCTGTCTACCAAGTGTTCTCTCTCTCTCTCTCTCTCTCTCTCTCTCTCTCTCTCTCGCTCTCTCTCTCTCTCTCTCTCTCTCTCGCTCTCTCTCTCTCTCTCTCTCTCTCTCACACACACACACACACACACACACACACACACACACACACGTGTCCCCTTTAAAAATATTTATTTTATCCGTATGAGTGTTTTGCCTGCATGCATGTGCGCATACTCCATGGATGCCCGTGGAAGTCTGAAGAGGACATTGGATGCCTTGGAACTGAAGTTACAGATGGTATGAAGCACTATTCGGGTGACGAGAATCAAACGAAGCTCCTCTTCAAGAGCAGCAAGTGTTAACTGCTGAGCCATCTCTCCAGCCCCCAAATATGCCCTTTGGTCCATTTTTTGGGGGGAGGGTAGGACCAAGTTGGCCTGAAACTCACTAGGTACCCAAGGCTGTCCTGGGCCCCCTGTCTCCATGTTCCAAGGCCTATGCCTCTACTCACAGTCAAACTTTCTACTATCCTAAATTCCCTCCTCCAGTTCTCCCCCTTGCCCATCAGCTGTCCTCATTTCTCTCCCTCCTTTTCCTATAATACTGCTTATCTGGTTAGACTCTGTACAAAGTTAGACTCCGTAATGGATCATAATGGATGGCCCTCAAAGATCTACCCAGGAAAGAACCTTTGGGACTAAAGCAACCTGGCTAGAAAATAGCTTGTCAGCACCCATGCTTCTCTTCAAAGCGACTATTTAATCCACGTAATGGGACTCAATTGCTTCACATGAGCTTCGGTCGCGCACAGGCTTCCGCTTTTCCGCATCTCTGCTTCTGTGTGTTCACTTAGCCCTGGACAATGCCCAAGGCCACCACACCTACTCCACCCATACCACATTCTCAGTTCTGGAGCCTTGCCCAACCGCCCTAAGTTGACTCGACTACAGCCATGCCCAACAGGACTTTGACTTCTTCACAAGGTCTGCCTTTGGTGTTTGTAACGGCATACTGACAGCAGCTCAGGGTGGCCTCAGACTCTCAATCTGCGTCAGCCTCTAAAGTCCCAGGATTACAGGTATGTGCCACCGTGCCCAACAGACACAGGATGCTTTGTCCAAATTCTGCCTTCTTCAGCCATGCACTCCGCTAAGTGATTCCTATCTACTATTTCATCCGGTGAGCACAACAACCTTATGGGGATGACTTAGCCCCTCCCTTTCAGCCAAGAACAAGGCCAACCAACAGAAGCTGCTTCAGGTTCACTCTTATCTACTTCAAGATCTCTATGGGCTTTCCATCGCATTGCTTCCTTTGCTGCAGTTAGGGGAAAAAATGTCAAATGGGCGGAATCAAAAACGGCCGAGTGACAAAGAAAGAGCACAGGACTTGATGGAATCTCTAAGGATGACAGATGTCTAAAAGTGCTAAAGAGATGGCTCAGCAGTTAAGCACAATTCTCGCTCTTGCAGAGGATCTGGGTTCCCTTTCCAATGCCCTCTTCTGATCTCTGAGAGCAAAAGGCATACATGTGGTACACATACATACATACAGGTAAAACACTCATACACATAAAATAAAACTTACTTCAATTTTTAAGAAAAAATGTCTAAGAGGGTGTGGATGTGGCTCAGTAATAAACCCCATGACCAAAAGCAACCTGGGGAGTAAAGGGTTTATTTAGTCTTATAGAGTAAAAAGTCTATCATTAAAGGAGGTCAGGGTAGGAACTCAAGGCAGGAACTTGGAAGCAGGAACTAAACCAGAAACCATAGGGGAGTGCTTCCTACTAGCTTACTCCTCATGGCTTACTCGGTTTGTTGTCTTATACAAGCCAGGCCCACTATCCAAGGGAGGTAATACCCACAGTAGGATAGGCCCTTCCACACCAATCACTGGCCTGAAGGCCAATCTGATGGACACATTTTCTCAACTGAGGTTCCCTCTTCCCAGATCATTCTTGCAAAGTTGACCAAAAGGAAAACAAACAAACAAACAAACTATCCCAACCACTAGCATGTGTAAGGCTCTGAGTTCTATTGACAGTAAACACACCACACACACACACACACACACACACACACACACACACACATACCCGCATGCACAGGGGCACATACGTGTTTACACAAAGGAAAATAAGAGACAGAGATACATAAAATGAAACACCAACAAACTTCCAAGAGGGTTCAGAAAGTTGTCATCCAAAGTCAGGCTGACCAGGGAGGGCTAAGGATGTACCTCGGTTGGTAGACTACTCGCCTCACAGGTACTAAGTCCTGGGATGGATTTCCAGCATCACATACCTGGGCATGTGGTAACACATGACTGTTATCTCAGCACTTCAAAAGCGGAGGCAGAAGGATCGGAAGTTGAAGGTCATCCTTGGCTTCATAGGGAGTTCAAGGCCAGCCTAGGACACAAGAGGTTCAGATTATGAAAAGAAAAAAAAAAGAGGAGGGGGGGAGAGGAGTTGAAAGCAAACGAAATCCTCATAAAAGGTGGTCATGCAGCTCAGCGGTAGGATGCTTCCCCATGAAGCCCCAGGTTCTGCCTCTAGCATGCACACACAACTTTAAATTAGTGAGGTTCAACGTGTAGCTTACTGATGGAAGACATCCTCCGTTCTAGGGTGGGAAAGCTTTTACCTTTCGGCCTTTTAAAGGTTCTCACTTGGTAATCTCCATCATTTTCACCAAGAGAAGGTCAGCACAGTAATGGCTTTGATTTTACCCGCACTTAAAGGTTCTCACTTGGTAATCTCCATCATTTTCACCAAGAGAAGGTCAGCACAGTAATGGCTTTCCCTTCCCCCGCACAGCCACCACTTCTCTGTTGATGGCCCTGGACTCCTCCCTGATGAGTCAAAATGATGCCTCCAAATGTCTATCCCCCATGGTAGCCGAGGACCCCTGCTTAGAGGAAAGCTAATAATCACTCTTCAGTTTAGACATCTCATTTGATTGGTCATGGTTCTTCTCTCATCCCTTCATCTTCATACACTCCGTGCCACTTTCTAGCCCTAAATAAAAGGTACCACTTCCCCTGTACCTCCCTCCAGTGGAAGGGGCTCATTTATTTATGCTCTGCATATCACAGACCCATGTCCGATATGAAGCTGGCATTCTCCTCCTTCATCACTGCTTCTGCTAGGCAACAATTCTTGTAATATTGCTTCTGTGAGTTTCATGCTATCGTCAGCTCTCCGGTGAAACTGTCAAACAACATGCTGGCCAGCCTGTCATTGAACATGTCGCCAGTCTCACAGTCTTCCTTGCCAGAATATTGGGCATGCATACATATGGAATCCACTCTGGAGACAAGGCTGGCCTCAAACTCAGGGAGATCCACTTGCCTCTGCCTCCTGAGTGCTGGGATTAGAGGCGTGCATCACAAGTCCTGGTTGTTGTTTTTTTTTTTTTAATTCATTATTGTGTATATAAGTACCTGATGTGGGGTGGGCATGGATGCCAAAGTGTGTGTGTGTGTGGAGGTCTGAGGACAACTTTGAGAAGTTGATTCTCTGCTTTGCAACTTCTTGTGGGTTCCAGAGATGACATGCAGGTCACCGGGCTCATGCAGCTCTCACTGCCCTTTACTGCAGTATTTCTATGAGTAAAAGTCCATCTGGAGAACCCATTCAGGTGGGACACTCCAAAGTAGCAGCAACTGAACAGCATTAGGTGGCATAACTTTCTGGTTTCCTGTTGAGTTTTTAACATACACCAACCAGACTAATAAAATAATTTGGTTGTGGGACAGAAATCTCACTCTGTAGCCCAAACTGTCCTGGAACTAGCTACATTAGCGTTATCCAAGGCTGGTTTCAAAGACTCCCGTGATCCTCCCTCTTCAGTTCCTTGAATGGCCACGTGCTAGTGCTCCCAGCTTATATGGTGCTGGAGCTCAACGCTGGCCCATCAAGCATGCTAGGCAAGCATTCCAGCCCCTGACCTGTACACTCAAGTCCTTAAATTGCCTTAACAGTCTAATATACGTCATCCACGTACCAAGTTGAGATGGCGACACCCACTGCGAAAGATGGTTTCAGGGATTTGGTTTGGTTTGGAAGCACTCTGTGGTCCAGGCTAGCCTGGAACTCAACACAGTTCTGCTTCTGCCTGACAAGTATCAGCATTACAGGCCTCAGGTACCATGCCTCACTAGGGTTGTTTTGACAAAGATTAATTTTTTAATTTATTTTTATTGGATCGTTGGTTGTGTTTTTGTTTTGTGAGGCATGGTCTCATATAGCCCAGGCTGGTCTTGAACTCCCTATGTAGCTAAGGATGACCTTGAACTCCTGATCTTGCCTTTACCTTCCAAGTGCTGAGATTACAGATGTGCATCAGCACATCAGGCTTATGCAGTGCTGGGTCTTGAACCCAGGGCTTCATGTTGGTAGGCAAGTACTCTACCAACTGGGCTACATTTCCAGGCCCCTCCATTTTTTTTTTTTAAGAAAAGGAAGGTTTCATACTATAGCTCAGGTTTACCTTAGACTCTCAGCAATCCTCCTGCCTCAGCCTCTTGAGTGCTGTGAGCCAGCATGCATGGCATGACTTGTGACATCTAAAAGAGATAATTCCTTTAAGGGAATGGCTCCCATTAGATGGTCAGTAAATGGTAAAGGTAGGAGGCCACGATGAACTCTTCTGCACCTTCCATGTCTGACCACCAGGTGTCAGCATCACCCAGCTAAACCCTTCTAGGCCAGGATGGCCTAGTCGATGGAAAAGTACAAAGATACAACTTTTAACCCCTCACCTGCTCCTGGTCCCAGCTACTTTGGTGGAGAAATTTAACAGGACTGCTTCTGAGTGGGCACTCTCCTATGTGCCCAGTAAGCCCTATTTAAAGCCTTCTGACTAGGCATCATAATTTGGAAATGACAAAGATAAGGTCAGAAAAGAGAAAAAAAAACATTCAAGACAGAGACAAAAAGGCAGGCTGACTTAGGAAAAGGCCAAGGGGAGAGTGAAATAGGCAGTGAGAGAAGGGAAAATAATAACTTTTTTACTCAGTCACCTGTCACACTCAAAGCTTTTATTGTAGTCCTTCCTTCAAGCCACCAACGACCTGAAACCCCCACCTCCCAGCCTCTGGCCATGCATCAAATCCCCTTTTAATCTCTTTAATCCCACTGATTCGCTAGCTGGCATTTTCTCAGATATATTTCTGAGAGGAGCCTTAGAGTCTCTAGCAAAGGAGTCATCGTTGTTTTGAGTCTGTGTAATTTCCACTTAGTATCTGAGCTGCCATGTTTTTCTAACTCCCCAATTCTCCCCATTAGAAACGACATTTCCATTTTTTGAAAGACATCTTTTTCCTTCTCACAACAGCTCCTTTGACTCTGCAGCTAACCAAACGGCCTATTTGATTTCCCATGTACCTAGTATGTTTTTTTTTTATTACTGGCATACATTTTTTTTCCAGGCTTCCAATGGAGTATTTTATTTTTTAAATAATCCACAGGTTTCCTGTGGGTTATTGACTTTGTGAATGCTGGCCTTCATTTTTTTTTCTTAGGACATTAGTGTCGTATAACATGAGGCATGCCCAAACAGGAACAGCACCCTCAAGAGGAACTGTTGATTTAGTCTGCTCTATCTGGACAGAAACGTGGCTGTAACCATTGGTAACGCCCAAGCACTGCTTAAGAGTTCTCTTCTTCACACAGCAAACATCTTTCCTCAATGTTTTCTTTCCATGCTGAGGACGGAATGTCCGGGGTTTTCACGTGCTAAGCACAGACTCTACCACACAGCTACACTCCAACCTAAAAACCTTGTAAGACAATAAAACGGACTAATTGAGAAGAAGGAACTATACTCTGGAGAGAACAATATGATACAAATGAAATCATCAGAATTTCAAAGGTCAACGTTGTTAACTTACCACTAAGCCCCCTCTCTCTCCTGACAGACATGGCTGGAGGAAGCAAATCAATTTCTAGAACAACATAAAGACTCTAAGATCTAACAGTCAGAAAATAAGACCTTGTATTTTCTGCAAATCATGATCAGTCAAGGGAGGTCTGCATCCTTCCATCCACACAAGACTGCAGTTGCCATTACTAAAACTATTGTCAATAAATAAACAGGCTTGCTGCAGGCATAGCTCTAAAAAAGGAATTTTATAGCATCCCCTCTAAGGCTCAGGGAAGACTACGGAAAAGAGGCCAGGAAGTTTGCAATAGCTGGAAGATAAGGTGAAGGGGAAATACCATTCTCTAGACTCTATACAACGACTGCCATTATTACCATTCAACTGAACTACCTGTACTGGGTGCATATAAGACAAGCCCCACCAATAAGTCAAGGTGGGGATGAGGGTCACAGGACCTTATGCTTTAATGTTGGCTATTGATATGACTCTGAAAGAAGAGAGCCAGCATCTTTAGCTGTGTACCTACTGCTGAGTCCACCAGGCTCCAAGAGATAACTCAAATCCGTAGTCACACAGACAGGCCTGGTTAATCACAGTGGATCACAAAACAAACAGTCATAAAATGAGTCAGAGAACTCCTATGGGGTGGTAGGGAGGTGAGAGGTGAAAGTGCTCGGTGTACACTGTGTGCATGTGCAAAAGTGCCCAGATACCGACTTTTAGTTTTGTTTTGTTTTGTTTTGTTTTGTTTTGTTTTAGACAGGCTTTCTCTGTGTTTTTAGTCTTGGTTGTCTTGGAACTTACTTTATAGCCCAGGCTGCCCTCAAATTCAGAAACCCGCCTGCCTCTGCCTCCTGTGTGCTGGGATTAAAGGTGTGAGCCACCACCGCCCTGCAAGAAATTAACTAAGATTTACTTAGCTTATTTCACATGTATGAGTTTTGCCTGCCTGTGTATGTGTGCAGCACATGTGTGCCTGGTACCTGCAGAAATCAAAAGAGGGCATCCCTAGAACGAACTTACAGATGGCTGTGAACCACCATGTGTGTGCCAGGAACAGACCCAAGGCACTGAGCCATTGCTCTAAGCCAGACGTTTAATTAGTAGTGATTAAAAAAAAAAAAAAAAAACTAGGCTTGTAGGGAAATGAGTCCATCATGGCACCCTCTCCTCGCATGTATCCACAGAGGCAAACATTTGACCCACAACTAACCTGAGTTCTGACAGAGCGCCTTGTGACCCTTGTAGAACAGAAAAGTGTGACAGCCAGTAAGGGACTCTCATCAGACAATCACACTCACTGTCCTCTGTCCCCTATGAGACCGGCATGAGCCCGTTTCTTTTTGCTTCCCAGGTTCTGCGGAGAAATGGCTGTTGCTGCCCTGTCTCTGCAGAATACAAAACTGCTTTCATGTAGAATATGTACAAGAATGTGTACATTCATAAAATAAAAGATTTTGAGGAGGGCTGTTTGGTTTTTTGAGACAGGGTTCCTCTGTGTAGCCTCGGCTTTCCTGGAACTTGCTCTGCAGAACAGGCTGGCCTTGAACTCATAGAGATCCATCTGCCTCTGCCTCCTGATTGCCGGGTTAAAGGCATGAGTCACCACTGCCTGACTACAATAAAAGTTTTATGTGACTACGAAGTACAAATTTGTGTAAATGGATATTCTATATAGACTGTAAAAAGTCACAGAAAATGATCTCCCCAAAGGCAGCCTAAAATGGCTTCCTCCAAAGCAGCGTGACTCATACACAGTTCATGCTGAAGTCATCTGGCCCCTTCCACGTCAGTATAGTCCTCTTTACGATGGCAGACAGGGGTCTCGGGGAGATGGCATTAGATTGACTCTTATTTTTGCTGTATATATTAAAATGTCTAAATCTAGAAATGATGTCTATCTTTATAGATATTAATATAATAAAAAGCTTGGCTCTACCTTGTCTCGAGTGTGAACTTTACAAATCTTCAGGGCTTCTATACAACCAGGTGTTAACTGTGTCCAAGGCATGACTGATTCAGGACAGAGTTCCACTCTGACGAGCTCTTAGTCATCCTCCTTGCTGGAGGCCATTGCAATTTGAGTGACACTCTGACGAGCTCTTAGTCATCCTCCTTGCTGGAGGCCATTGCAATTTCCAAGTGAAGGTTCACTTGAGACAAGTTTTCTATGTTAGCGGAAAACTATAAAGTGACATGTAAGCACCATTATTGCTGTCACACTACATAGTTTCTTCCGTGCTCTTCCTATTGGTCCCTCTCAGCAACTAATCCTGGGCTAACTGACCTTTTATTATGTTTTGTTTGTGGGGAGGGGTTGGGTTTTGGAGATGAGGTTTCTCTTTGTAACAGCCTAGGCTGGTCTCCAACTCACAGAGATCCGTCTGCCTCTGCCTCTGCCTCTGCCTCTGCCTCTGCCTCCTGAGTGCTGTGTTTAAAGGCGTTCCTCATCACTGCCCGGATGCTAACTGAGCTTTTAGTCTCACACTCATTTATCCTCTTCCACAATGTCACACAGGGTCATACGCTATGTAGTCCTTTCAAGCTTTATATGCATTTATATGTACTTAATATGCATTTCAAGTTCTGCGACCTCTTCCCATGGTTTGGTAGCATATTTAATTTTAGTGCTCAAAGCAGTCCATTGTCTAGATTTTGTTTATTCATTTACAAACTGAAGGGCAGTTCCTTACAAGTTTTGACAGTTATGAAAAACTGCTAATTTTTAACATTTCTTTTCCTTTTTTTTTTTTTCTTCCTTGAGACAGGGCCTTACTTTGTGGTCCTGACGGGTCTGGAACTCAGAAAAAAATCCATCTGCCTCCATCTCTGAGTCCATTCTATAGTTGGGATAAGTCTCTCTCCTCTCTATCTCATGTGTCTTTGAAAATATTATCTCCTCTTCAATTAATTTGTCTTATTCTCTTGACACTGTTACACAACAGAAGGGTTTTTTTGTTGTTGTTGTTCTTTGGTTTTTCAAGGCAGGGTTTCTCTGTGTAAGAGTTCTGGCTGTCCTAGAACTTACTATGTAGACCAGACTGGCCTAGAACTCAAAGAGATCCCCCTGCCTCTGCCTCTCGAGTGCTGGGATTAAAGATGTATGCCATCACCAACCAGCCAGAAGGGGTTTTGCCTTCTTTACTGAAGTACCGAGATTGAACATAGGGCTTTACAAATGCTAGGCAAGCCCCCTCTTTTTACCACCAAGCTATATCACAGCCTTCTTTTCATTTTTTTGTTTCAAGACAGGGTCTCCCTAAGTTGCTCAAGCAGGACCTGAAATTCTGATCCTCCTGCCTCAGCCTTCTAAGTAGCTGGAATTAGAACCCCCTGACACCAGACCCAGTCAGAAAAGACAATTTAGCTTCAATGAAATCCAGCTTATCAATTAGATCTTTCAGGGACTATTGCTTTCCGTGTAAAAAGTCAGCAGCAGGGCTGGAGAGCTGGGTCAGCAGTTAAGAACACTGATGGCTCTTCCAGAAGGCCTGCATTTGATTTGGAGCACTCATATTGCAGCTGGCTCACTATGGTCCGTTTCAAAGTGATCCACTGTCCTCTTCTTGCCTCTGTGGTCACTGCAGGCACATGGTGTACATACATATAGGTGAAAAACCAACATACATTAAAAAAAATCTCAAAAGAATATAAGTAAAAATTCAACAGCATACCTAAAGGCTGCAAAGATTTTCTCTCATCTTGTTTTACCTTTTTATAAACTGCATAGGTCTGTGATCTATTTTCTAATACTTTGGTATCTAGATTTTTTTTTAAATGTATTCTTACTTTTTTTGGTTTTTTGAGACAGGGTTTCTCTGTGGCTTTGGAGGCTGTCCTGGAACTAGCTCTTGTAGACCAGGCTGGTCTCGAACTCACAGAGATCCACCTGCCTCTGCGTCCCGAGTGCTGGAACTAAAGGCATGCGCCACCACTGTCTAGCTACTTTAAAATTTTTATTTTATTTTATTTTATTTTATTTTATTTTATGTGTATGAGTGTTTTCTGCAGGAATATAATACGTACCCAATGTGTACCTGGTGGCTTTGGAGGTCACAGGAGGGTGTCAGATCACCAAGAACTGGAGTTAATGTTATCTGTGAACCACAATGCGATGCTGGGACCTGAATCCTGGTCCTCTACAAGAACAGCAAATGAGCCGAGCGTGGTGGTGCACACCTTTAATTGAAGCACTTGGGAGGCAGAGGCAGGCAGATCTCTGTGAGTTCAAGGCCATCCTGGTCTACAAAGAGAGTTCCAGGACACCCAGAGCTATTACACAGAGAAACCCTGTTTCAAAAAAACAAACAAAAAAGAACAGCAAACGCTCTTAAACACTGAGCAAACTCTCGATCTCCCATTTTAAATTTATAACTATGCATGAATATGTGTCTATATGGAGGCATGTGCAAAGGAGTACAAGTGTCCTCAGAGGCCAAAAGCCATCACATCCCCTAGAGTTGGAGTTATAGGAGGTACTGAGCAGCCAGACATGGTGCTGGAAACTGAACCTATGTCTTCTTCAAGAACAACAAGCTCTCTTTACAACATTTTTTAATTTAAATTCTTTAATTACTACTCATATTTACATACCCATCCCCCCATTCCCTCGCCCTCTCATCCTCCCATCTTCCCACCAATCCCCCCAACCCATCCCCCAACTCCTCCCCAGGGATAGTGAGGCCCCCCCCCGGACCCCCCCCATCCCTCCCCTCACTTTGGGGGGGGGCGTGGC